AATGGAGACACAGACAAGAAAAACAAATTAAAAGCAAAGAAAAAAGCCCTATTAATAATAATGAAGAAAACCGAAATGACATATGACCTGATTTCCAAAAATCCCTGCACAAACCACTTCATTAAATATGATTCTCCATATGATTAAATGAGCTTCTCTCAACTTGCCTACCTTACTGCTTCCTTAAAGCCATTTACATTTTTTTTTTTGGTCTGCACATACTTACCCCAAATATGAGAAGGGACTACTCGGTGCATGTACTCTAGTAGTTCCCAGACAATCAAGTTGAAAACTGCTAGAGCATTAACAATCTCAGGAGAAGCCACAGCTGGAAATTGGTAGATGATACACAAAGGGAACCACACAGCAAAGACACACACAAATAAACATAACAGGAATCAGTAGACAAGCATGTCTGAAAAAAAAGGGAGAGGTGTTCTTCTGAATTTGTTAATTCACGGTAGAAGTATTTCCTTACAAACTGTAATCAAGTCAGATAAAATGTGAAGTAGTACATTTGCCTCTTTTTGCTGAATCACTGTCAATACTGTGCTGTCAGATATATCTGGGTGAAGTTGCTGAAGGACCATCAGGATGCATTAGATATGAGGTTTCCTTCTTCCGGCAGCCTTGGTCCAGTGCTGTCTTCTTGAGGCTTTTCTGTTGCTTGAAGGGGAACTGAAGGCAGCACGAGAATTTTGCTGCCTGGGAACAAAACCTAGCTGTTAAAGAGCTGTACTGCAGCTCTGCATGTCTGCGTAGGGTTTCACTAGATCAGCCACCACCACAGTAGTCAAATGCTGAATCCGATAAATTAAGTCTGCATGGGGCTAACCAGTCTTCAGAGTTGATAGCTCACTTATGCTTCCTATCTTGCTGCAAGTGTTGCTTATTGCACTTACTGCACCCAATGACTTACCTGTATAATGGTTTGAGTGGCACAGTGAACATGAGGGACATAGCAGTTGTTGTTGCCTCGAAGTGTGAGAAAGTTTGGCACAGAGGGCTAAATCTTTCCATACTTCCAGGGCAGCAGCATCTCTTCTGCTTCTATTTTACTTCAGTTTACACAATCTACAAAGATTTGTAGGCAAAAAGCTTTGCTATCATATGGGTTTGCACTATAGATGGTACCTTACTATTCATATGCAAAAAGCAAACCCCAATGCTTGCTGTCTTTTGACAGCATGACTTTTCTGTCCCAACAGTGGCATAATGTTTCTTCTGGAGTGCCATTTACTGATTTTTTTTTTTAAGGGTACATTTTAAAGTGAAATTATTTGGCTTGCAGTTTGTGATGAGATAAGGCAGACATATAAATGATATTTTAGTCAAAGTCATGGCTCCCAAAGTATTATTTATACTAAGCTTTGAAATATCTTTTTTCCTTAGGGAGCCAAGCTACTATATATTTTCTTCTTAATCTATTTGGTATTCAGTTTTCAATGCCAGCTGGAATTAAATATTAGATATTTTTTTGTTGTTGTTATAGAGCTGAATTATTAGAGAGATTATTATTGAATATTTCAGGATACATCCTGTACTTAATCCATTTAACACACACTAAAAGGAGCCCAGATCGCAGTACCAAGAACAAGTCTGTAATTGTTTTAATCTGAAAGATGAGAAAGGTTTGAGGTAAAGAGAATTCAATTAACAAAGGCAAACCTAGATGTAAAAAGATACAGACTTCTTTTTTGCTTTACATTACTGTAATACGTCATCTTCTTAGAACATATAGTTAAATTTTCATGTTTCCAGAGTGTATTTCCAGTAGAGAACGTAAACCCATAAGCTCTTGGAAACTTTGCATCTGCTTATGCCCTCAGGTTGCTTGGCCTCTTGTTTCGTGCTTGTGTCCTGTTTCTCTTTCTCACCCCCACGGCTGCCCAGGACCACTTCCAGAGATGTGCGTGCTGACCCAGAGGAAGCGTTGCCAAGGCTGGCTTCATGGGTGCTAGCAAGCAATGCCAGTTCAATGCCTTTCTGCATGCCAATGACAGAGCCAGGAGCGTGTGGGAGCTCTGTAGTCCTGCTTGTCCTGTCAGGAGCTGCACCCTGTCTCTGGCAGGGATGTTGCCATCATGCCTCTGGCCATGACCAGTTGTACTTAAAGCTCAGCAGGCCCCCCCAAACGCATGAGCAACAGGTCTCTGCGCGAGCCTCTGAGGCTACTGAACCAACTAGATAGCTAAAGCTGAGCGAGACGAATTCCACGCTGGTATTTCAGAGCTGAAATAAGAGGAACAGTTTGCACAGACACTGAAGACTTGGTTTGTTCTGTTCTGTTTTGTTTCAAATTACCGTGTCAATTAGATTTTAAAAAAAGTTTTAGACTTTTTTAAAAAGGCATTTTGCATGCAAAAAAAAATTGTCACTGTAGGAAATTTTAGGTCCAATTCACACATCTCTGTACAAATTCCAGCATTCTTACAGTGTCAGCAGAGCATTACTCCTGATTTTTCATCCCCTTTAGATTGTGGAAACTGTGAGAATCTTATGGTAAACAGAAATCGGGTTTACAACCTCTGCCATCTCAAACTTTGTGCATGTATGCATACAAACGTACATATATTAACACAGAGAAGATAAAGACATGTTCTATTAAAATCTACAGGATACACTTTTTTTTTGGCAGGGTGTAAATCTGGACCGTGTGAAGAAACCCTGTGTGACAAGGGCCTATAAAGTCAGTCTCTAAAAGCGGATAATCTGGAGTCAGTGCTGGAATTCCTTTCCTTAGTCTCCTTTCCTGTCCTTGCTTATGTCTTAGATGAATGCTCATAGTCCCATCCTCTGACAAGGTCTTCCCAAGAAAGAGATGTTTCTATTCTAGCCTTATGACTCATACCTGCCATGTCCTGCCCAGGCCAGAAAGAAATACAGGAGCTGATCTGTAGTCCATTGACTTCAATGGACCTTGATCTAGGGGCATAAATTACGTGTTTCTACATGACAACTAAAATATTAACTTGTTAGGGCAGGCTCTAACTCAGCGAAACTGCCTTACAGTGAAAAAGTTTTTTTCTCTGTATAAAACAGACACTAAAAAAAAAGGAATAGAGCTTCTGACTTCCTTTATTCCAAATGTTTGTAGATATAAAATATAGTGATGAACTCCCATGTAACACACTATCAAAATAAAATTAAGCACTGTGATTTTTTTTTCCCCTAGCCTGTTGGCATCAAGCCATATAAATTATAAAATAGACCTCGGTACAGGAAATCAAATCATGAAATTATCAGAGCTCACAGTAAAATATCCCCATTAAGATAATGCACCTGAATGAGCTACATTGCAGCTTTCTATTGTACCCCTACGCTTCAGTTTAGCTACTTCTGCATATGTTTTACTTCACTGGTGCCAAAAAGGAAAACAGCCTTTAAGAAATGGCCATTGTCCTCTCTTTGCCTATTCCTTTCTCTCTCATTTTCTTAATTCTACCAGTTCACTCCCTCATTTTTGATACCTCACCCCTTCATCCCTTTGTTTCCTCAGACTTTTAATATCACTTCCAGCTGAGACAGTACTCCACTGCTTTTTGCAACTGGGCATTTCTGTGGTGAGCCTGGGGTTTCTTTATACCTCAAGGTTCTTGCTCTGCACTGAGTGATACAAGGCACACCCATATTTTCAGGACTCTACAGTCATGCCATACAAAACATTAATTCAAACTTGATAAAAAAGTCCATAGCCCTGGAATTTGTGCTGGTAGTGTGTTTTAATGAAAGGGCTAGCCTCTCAGCTGGCAGTTTGAATCTGTGATGGAAATGCATGACCCACACAACATCTTTGTAGTCACTTACTTTGCATTCAAATGAAAAAAGAAAAAAAGTTTAAAATTTTGACCACTTTATTTATTGTACATTTTTTTCCAAAACTGAATTCTGCAAATCCTTACATGGCATGTTGGATGTGGACAGTACCCGTTTCATTTCAGAATAAGGCAGCAATGTAAAGCACAGCAAACATCAAGATTGTTCAGGCTTGGAAATGCTAGTAAGCTTTACTTACTGTTAGTTAGCACTGTAAAATGAAAGTTGTCCCTCTGCCCCACACTGTTTGAGCTGAATGTATTTTCAGAAATATACCCATATTCTAATTCAATTTAGGAGAATGATGATACAGAAAACCCCTGAGAAGTCTCCTCCTGCCTCCCCTTGCCACATCCAAAGTATGGTTGTAAGCATAACAAAAATGAAGCCCTCTGAGTCTAGCTTTCACAACACTTAATCAGATGCAGTCACTACTGCGACGAGTCACGGTTAGAGCTGAAACTGCATCCTTAGCTAATCTTCCAATGGCAATAAAGTCTATAATGAGCATGTAGGCAGGTTTCGTGTCATATGTTACAAATACACAAGCACAAGTATGGCATAGAGCTGGATGTTTCTATGAGAATTTGGTTTGAAAGCATGACCCCTACAGAAAGCCTGTTAGGAAGGAACCCTGAGAAAACACTGAAGAATCACAGTCTTCCCTCTGCCAAAAAAGCTGTTAAGAAATACTGCCTCAAAATAAAAAAATGTGCTGAATGAGCAAAGGAGTGGTCAAAGAATAAGCAGCTGATGCAGGGAGCATTCTCCACCTCCCTTGACGCTCATGCACTCACACAAATGCAGGCTGCTCTCTCTTGCAGGAGTTACGGATTCCTGACTATAAATGTCAAGCAAAGTTCGTCATGGTAACCCTGTCTAGTTGCTGTGCTGACAGACTGCACAAGTTCAGAAAGGTGTAATTTACCCCTCTTTGTACCATGATGAGCAAGTCTGCCCGTTAAAATAATTACTCTTTCTACTTAGTGGATTTAAAACCCTTGGCATAACTTCAATGTGATTTTGGTATGACAGCATACGCAAGAAAGCAAAAACCAATAAACTGGGCCAACTTCTGAACTCGGTGTCCCTGAAACCACTGGGAGTTTTGTTTAAGCAATGAGTTCAGAATTTGGCTCCAATGAAAGCAAACCTTAGTAGCATGTGGGCTGGCCTCAGCACCACTAGTCAAACCAGTGATCTCCCATGCAGGTTCTGTTCCACTCCAGGCCACAGTTCCAGCACCACTCAAATCTGCACTGAGGGCGAGGACACTTCATGTGCATGCAGCCACCTGCAAAATAGCAACAGAATGGCTTTGGTACTTGGCAGACACTTAGAGATGTTAATCAACAATTAGCAGTTTTAAAATCAACTTTCTTAAGCATTAATTTACTAACCAAGTAGAATATTTAATAAAAGAAAAGAACAAACCTTAAGAATACTTTTCCCGGGCTTTCTAAAACCTGCTACTCCCCGTTTTATTGGGGTGGAATGTGCTGGCCTCACTTGAGGGACTGCATGAGTAGGGCCTGCAGTCCTTTCTGAAACTGGAAGGGACTGCACTAGGGGTAAGGAAAAGCAATGACAGAGTTATCTGCTCAAGGATACTTCACCCTAGTCCAGCTGTGAGCCAGAAGTTGAACAAAATTCAATTCTCTTTTGAATTTGGATTCAACAACTGAAAAATTTGCAAAGAGAATAAATCAGGAGACACAGACTTTGGTGGATGACTGCTGATTATGTCAGTGTGACATTAGTAATTCAAGTCGATTTGACCTTCTTAGTATCTGAAGCAGCCTTTTGATGGCATCAATATTTCCTGTGTGTTGCGTTTCTTACTTGCCTGTACTGTGAGAGCAGCTTTAATCTCTCTGGTCACAACCTTGATCAAATGTTTATTTTGTAATGTATAAAACATTAACATTGTTCAGAGGTCATTACAGAAAAACACTTCAAATGGAAATTATGTTGCTTACCACACAAAGAAATCTCTTGTATAATTCAAACTGAAAGAAAAGCATGCAGTATGAAGAAATGCTGAAATGTCGTCTTGGTTTGACTCCAGATGGTGATAGGAGGTACAGGGAGTGTGTGTTCCCTACTGTACGACCTGCTGCCCTTACACCACCTTTTCTATAAATGCCACTTCAGAATGATTCTCAGAAGGTAAAAACAACAGAGGACACAAGAATTGTGTTGTTAAAATAGTCCTGTCTGCTGTTGACAGAGAGAAAACTAGCTGTGATGGCAAGGTTTATTTGTCAGGTTGTATCTTTGTGTAAGAGATGCAATTGGCCAGATATTTTTATCTTATTGAAATGTATTAAAATTAAAAGCCTACCAATGGCCAGCCTCCATGTTACACTTTACTTAAGGTTTAGATCCAATGCTCTCTTACAGTCCATATTAAGCCCTCACTGGGTAAAACGCACCTCAGTCCTGGCGCAGGACCTAAACCCCAACAGGCACCCTCTGTCAAACATGTGCGCTGCGTGCTAAGCTACATATATCATGTTATTCTCTGCTACACAGCAGCTGAGATCAGCAGTCAGAGTGGAGAATGCCTCAAGCAACGTGACCTACAGCTTTGTGAGTACAGCAGTCCTCTGAGAGACGTGGATGTGTGTTTAAACTCACTCAGACTGGGAATTGAGCTGTGCGCAAGTGTTTTGCTCTTTCACTTCAGCTATTACAGAAAAGTTATTGGCATATAGAAGTATTCTACAATGCCTATAGATATACAGGCTACAGAAATAGAGAAATATAGGCTATTATTGAAAAGTTATTGGCATTGTCACTGTCCCTTGTAAAAGACAGTATCCACAGAAGTGTTTGGGGAGGGAAGGCAGAATTATTCTCTTGTGTGGAGTCAATGTACTCCTCCCAAATGAGGACAGTCGTCGGACTTCAATGTACAACTGGGAACCTCTTAACAGCACCTGTATTTAGGCAGAAGTTAAGTGCTCCTTCAGTTTACAAACATCAGCCTGGAAGATGGCACATGCAGTACCCATTACCAGAGAAGAAAGCAAGCACTGCACTTTTAAGCTTCACGCCTTAATGTGCAGGATCACAGAATCACTGAGGTGGGAAGGTACCTCTGGAGATCATCCGGTTCCAGTCCAACCCTCCCTCTGCTCAAAGCAGAGTCAACTAAAGTACGCTGCCCAGTGTTGTGTCCAGTTAGGTTTTGAATGTATGCTAGAATGGAAATTCTTTCTGGACAATCTGTTCCAGTCTTCATCCACCTACACAGTAAAAAGCATTTTCTTATGTTTAAATGGAATTTCCTACGTTTCAGTTTGTGCCCATTGCCTCTGTCCTTTCAGTGGGAACCACTGAGCAGAGTTTGGCTCTGTCTTCTTTGCTCCCCCCAGCAGGTATTTATTTATCCAGTCCTTTTATCATCTTTGCAGCCCTTCACTGGACTCACTCCAATCTATGTCTCTCTGGTATAGGGTAGCCCAGAACTGGACCCACCACTCCAGATGTGTCTCACCGGTGCTGAGCAGAGGGGAAGGATCGCCTTCCTCGATCTGCTGGTGATGCTCTTCCTAATGCAGCCCAGGATGCAGCTGGCTTTCTTTGCTGCAAGGGCACACTGCTGGCTCATGTCCAGCTTGTAGCCCACCAGGACACTCAGGTCCTTTCCATCCACTTTGACTCCGCAACCAGTACTGGTGCACTTCCCTATGTTGAAATTCATGAGGTTTCTCTCAGCCCTTTTCCCAGCCTGTTGAGGTTCCTCTGAATAGCAGCACAATCAGCCGATTCCAGTATGTTGAAACATTTCTAGCCTGCTGCTATCGGCTTTGGCATTTTGCATTATGAGGCACTGTTCTGGAAAGGCCTTTTCCTGCTTATTATCTGTTTTCAGTAAATATTTGCTTTCAAGGATAAAAAGTATGATGGCCTTTATTTCCTTTTTGATACAGTGGGGATTTTTACAAGCAACTTCCCTAAACATTAGTGGGAGTTGTGTGAATTATATCATGGTGTCAAACAGGGATATCCTGTTTGTAACAAGTGACAATGGCCTGTACTTTAACAGTAAAGATTTTGTAGCAGAGTCTAAGAGAAGGTAAAGGTCCTAGCACTGCTTCCAGCCTGACCAGAAGCTTTTTTTCTTTGGTTATGCACAAACTGTTAAGTATGAACAGTCACGGTTATTATTTGTCTATTTTTAATCCAGTTCAAACTTCTGCTTTCCAGCCTGTTTTACAAGTCTGTAAATAACTTTTTTGACCTACCCCTCTGTTATCTCTCTTCTGCTGCCCACCTTCCTCTCTACACTTTGCCAAATCTTGTCTCACCTTCCCACTCCTGAATTCATGCTTTCTTTCCTTCTGCTTCTTGTACTTGAAGAAGTCTCCCACTTTCCATCTGCCAACTGCTGCTTTTTCTTTCATGAAGCCCCACATTTCAGGATTTTGTCCTATTTCTTCCTCAGTAATTCTGTAGTATCACTGCTTGAAGTGTTGTCTCCTTGCAGGTTACAGTGTCTTATTTGGCATTTTCAGAGTCCCATTTGAATAAGTGATGTCACACAACTGAGAATCACCCCCTGTACTTAATATTTGTATAATATTTAGGCAATAATTTTTATATATTTTGATTAACAACATAAATACAATTAAATATTGGAACAGCATGAACCTATAGGGTATAGCCTATTTGCTGTTCCTGTTCCCCATTTTAACCACCCCGGTGCCAATTGATTACTTTTCTACCCACATGGTAAGCATTGATTAGTGCAACCAGTTTGCCAGGACTCATGTTTCTTCCTCTGACTTGCTCTTTGGCTGTGGGCATGTCACTGGGTTGAGATTAATCTCATCTAAATTCAGCTATGTACTGTGTATATGTCTACAGCAGGACTAATTCTCTACACCCCACTTTTAGGTGCGATTCTTCTGGCCTACATTAGACCTATGTTTTGTTTCAGTGTTGGATGAGTTTTGCCCTACAAATGTCTATATTTTCCAGTGACAGTGGAAAATCTAGACAACTAGCTGACTGAAGTCATGTGAACTTTACATCCAGTGTCTCTCTATGCCTCATTTTCCTTATGTATAAATAGCCAAGCATTTTGTGAGGCTTAATTGGTGGCATTAGAATTAAGTGATTTAGATTTAGTGATTTCAAGATAATTTAGATAAAATGATTCAAGCTCTATGTACTCTCCCTCTCTTGGAAAAATAGTGTGCATATGTACACATGCACATTTGTACATTTATGTTGTAAAATGAATTTTAAAAGACAGCTAAGTATGAGATATCTAATAGATTTACCATTTTTTTCTACTGGAATATTGCAGCTGGGGCATGGCTTGGTTGTCTTCTTGATTGTTTCTCTAGATGCCTCTTCCCATCGAGCTTGCATGGCTGCACGTTCATCAACTATGTAACCCTGCAAAGAGAGAGAAGATCCTGTGGGCACAATACTGAAAGGCTGCGCTAGCACACGGTGTTTACACTGAAGTGGTAACTATTTACCCACGAGAAGCAGACAGGAGTGACTGCGAGGCCAGGGAGGCTGGACTTTATGGGAGATGCAGAATTCTTGCTTCAAAAGGCAAACTTGTTTTCTCCCAGTGTGCACGACACGTGTATCGGGTTAGATCCCAGGCTGCGGCGGGCTGGTGGGGGGGGCTGCAGCAGCTGGGGTGTGTGCCATCCCGGGGGTCCTTCATGCACCCAGCTGCAGCACAGGCTGCGTCCCCCCCGCTGCTCCCTGCCCCGAGCGGCAGGCAAAAAGCCCTGGCAGGAGGACACGGGGCATCGAGCCGTGCTGCAAACGCACAGAGACAGGTAAAGCAAAAGGCAAGGCGAAGCAGGAGTCGGATGAACCCGGCTGAGACATGACGTGTTAGACATGGTAGGTTTCATTCTGCTTCAGGGATTAAAGGCCTTCTTGCAAGAAAAGCAAAAACAACAAGGCAAGGCAAGACTTGATAATGCAGAGTGGTGGGGTCCCTGGAAGGCTACTGCTTTTCATAATAAATCATGTTCCTTTGTTTTGGAGGACTAGATTTCATTCAAACATAAATCTATATAAATTTAAAAGGCCTTAAGAGGCACAAAAAAGAAACACAAACATTTTGGAGAAAAAGTCAAAAGAACCCCCTGGTGAATAATGAAAGCAAGTAGCTCCCCAGATAGAATGACACGGATGGAAAAAGTCATCATGAACACTGTTTTAAAAGGGACTCTTGTGTTTGTCCTATTTATGACTGGGACAAAATTACATAACCCACACAAGTGTCCTACTTGGCAATTTCCTACCTACAATGATAGTACAAGGACAAAAGAGATGGCAGTGCCTTGGGTCGCTTCTGTCACATGAGGCTGGCAACTATGTGACTAGTAGCTCTAAACAATGTATGTAGGTTCCAGCCTTGAAGTTCTGCTCTATCTGTTCATAATGTGGGTTTTTTCAAGCACGTGGGAAAATTATGAGCTTAAACTAAATTATGTTATTTGTTAAAATTCCTGCAGCTTCTTTTTGTTTATACCTTCTAAATACTTGTAGGCCATTATGTGGATAAACTTTTAATATTTGTTTAAATGGATAATTTAAAAAAAATACTTATTTCCAGCAAGACAGCAAAAGGAAGTTGGCCCAACGTGCAACACAACCATAACTCAGCTACTACTACTAAAACCTGTGACTTGTTGCAGTGTCCGTGAGTAAGACCTAGATTTTATTTCTTGGCTGATGTCACAACTGAGCAACAATTTGTTTCCAGCTCATCTGGTGGCCATGGCAATCTTAAAAAAGAAAAATCAGGCCCTTTAATCAGGAAAACTCAAAAGTGTGTTTATGGTTTCATGTCTTTTATTCTACTACCTACATTAGTCTCCTCAGCCCCTTAATCCCTTTTGTTGCTCCTCACTTAACATTCTCCAGTTGCCAGTATTTTTGATCTAGCGGTGACAAAACTGAACAAAGTCTTCTCGGCTGTGTCCTAGAAGTGACTTTTACTTTTAGCTCTCTGCTTCTGGAGAGGCAACTCGGCCCTGCACCCTGCGGGATTATTCAGCAGTTCGGCAAAAGGGTGACCTCTATACAACCGTACATTAGGAAGTTCTGGGAAATAGAAAAAGCTGCTCAGGCTAATAGCAAAGAACATAATCTGGTATTGATCTTGCAACACCTTGATCTTTAAGGAAAGATGACATTAGCAGGCAATCTGAGCTAACTCAGAGAGGCCTGAACACGAGATGGGGAGAGTGGCAACGCGAGACCTGGGCCTCAGTTTGCCCAGTGACAGAAGGAAGATGACATTAATTGCATCTGGTTGTAATGGGAATTAATAGCTTAACGTTGTTAAAGCTAATTCAAGATGAAAATCACTATAGCAGTGATAAAACATTGCTATTCTTTTCAGAATAACAGCTACATGACAAGACCAGATGTATTTTTAATTTTTGTCATCAACCTAGAAGAGATTTACAGTGGCTCTGTTTTTCTCAAATAGTCCAAATCCAAACTGTCTGGTTTAGTACTTGGAAACATACTTTTCCCCCATCTTCATATCTTTGTTGTGCTCTACTAGCAAATCACACTGAGGCAAAATTTCACATGCCAAATTGCTAATTTGATTTTAGTTCTGAAAACAAATACAAACTTAGGAGATCTTAGGAATAACTAAAATAGACAACTTCAAACCGCACATACGCAATTCACCAAGAAAGAATAAATTGCTGGAAACAGCAGAGTGAATTATTACATTAATGTTTTCCATTGCAAAAATTCTAGCATGAAATAGATCCAGCAGTATGATACTTTCAGCCCATTAGAGCTGAAATATCCCTCCTATGCCCAGTCTTGCTGAATGCGAAATTAAAAACTTCCTGCTGCAGGAAGCAAAGGCAGAGAAACGGTACAGTGATGGAGTTCCTCCGATTCAGTGAAGAAATCATACCATATTGATCTATGAGCCTCCAGTGTTTGCGTGCTTTATTTAGTGGTCCACATACAGTGGCTGCAAGCACACATATATTTATCTGCATTTTTTCCTCAAACAATAAAGGAAAGGTGTATGGCAGTTCTCCATTACAAGGGTCTATTGAAATCACCGTCTTTCAACCTAAGCTAGCACACCTAATGTTATTGACAATGGCCTAGGTAATAGAGCAGGTCTATCAAGCAGAGGTGGTGCTCACTGCCTGGTCTTGGATAGGAAGTTCAGAGATGCTCCAGGTGTGCAGCACATGTCTGTTTGCTGAGGACAGGAGAGTTTGATCACTTGTGATGCTGACCCCACACAATGTGCTCTAGTTCCTCAATTATTACAAAATATTTGTCCCAGGACTAGAAAAAAGCTACTAGATTCCATCCATGCCACTTCATGAATTATTTTTCTGATTCTCAACTGTGCTGCATCTTATGACCAGGAATGAATACCCATGAATAACAGGAAGCTACTAAGAGCTGTTGCAAGCATTTTTCAACATCCCCTCTGCCATATCCCCTTAGTGAGATAGGGGAAAATGTCTGTCTTGTTATCTCTGGGTCACACGGAAGGATGGAGATTTACTTCTATTCTGTTTCTATGCTGAGTCCTTTGGAAAAACTAACAGGGATAAAGAGACCACAGACACTGCTGTGCACCACATAGCAATATAAGAACATGTACATGGAAAGCTGTTTATGCAGTTAATCAATATCAGGCAGTACTGGAAAAAGTCAAGAGACAGAAAGCATCTTGAAATAGAAATAAAATGTCCTTCTTAAAGCAGCATCTCATTCAGGTAATAGGGCACACATCAACTTGTCAGTGTATGTTCACAGTCAGCAGCTAAGCAGTAACATCCAGATTAAAAACATTTACAGCAAAACTTTTTGTTCAAAATACTGGAAGCATTAGGTGTATAATGTTTTACGACACACACTTCTTTTATGATCATGCTTATTTTGCCTAGTATAGACAACATCTGAAAACTTAAGATCCTTGATTCAGAATAGACTATGAAGCTGTTAACATTATGTTGTGCTTAGCTTTAGTGAATATAATTTCTGGACTCCTGCTTGTTTACTGTTGGTGCTTAATTCCTTCCGATAAGCAAAAAAGCTGGTCATGCATAAAAATTGTATCGTAGTGCAGCTTCCTTTAAATCAGAAATACCTTCCCTTTTGATCAGAAATGCTTGGTTTTAAGTTAATTTTCCTTGGAAAAATAAGTGTTGGGTTTTTTTTAATTAAATAGAAATATGCAAAATTATGATGTTATGTGAAATATAGCATTTTAAAAAGGCTTAGATATCTCAAAAAAGAAAGCATTACTCATTTTCTAGCACAAATGTGAGAACAATGATGGATATTTGAAAGAGTTTGAAAGGAAGGCAAAGAATAATTCATTGTACGCAAAGCAAAGTTCAACTCACCATAACATTTAGATTAACACAGCCCACTAATTATTTTGGGCTGGAGTTCTAAGCAAAAGCAGCCTCATTGGTTGAAGCCTGATCTACAAGAGATAGTGACAGTCCACCTTATATTTCTTCTGTTCTGCTGGGCTGTTTTATGAGCATGTCCACATGAATTAACCTCCTGTTGTGTTTAGTGGTGTCTTTCCCTCCAGTTGGGGGAGGGAAATAGCAGATATCTAGGGCACTAGATATACTAGAGGACCTTTGAAAAAAATCCATTATTTGAGTCATTTAAGAGTCAAAATGTCACAAAGAGACGTGTGCAGAACTATGGGACTAGTGCTCTAGTGTAGAAAAAATTTAGGCTAATCAAATAACTAAAAAATGGTTATACATCAGGAACAGGAAAGATGGTCATCCATGGGAATATGTTTCATGCACTGGAAAAGTGGAAGTGTCAGGACCACACCGATGCAGTTAAACTCACATGAAGCAGCTTTGTGTGAGCCAATTTGTCTGGTGTGCCTAGGGAGTTCTGCTGTAAAAAAAAGAGCTGCTTTGTGATGACAATAACTAGCTAAAATCAAAGTGATATACACAGTGTATTGTGTCTGATACAAGATGAAAGAGACTTTCACTAAGTAAAATCAGAGCGCTCTGGTTTGGTGACAGAGCACATCAAGGTTCTCACTCTGCATGTTGAGGCCGTTCATATCAGCATGAATTAAATGCAGGTAGCTGGTGAGTATTGAATTTACACTGCTCTAAAGCAGAAAAATCTAATCTAATACAGGTCATTCTTGTATAACTGTTTTCCATGAGTGGAATAAAGAACATGCCTTCTCCCATAAGTGGCAACACAGCTGCAAATGACTCTCACCTTAACCTCATAACAAAAGCAGCCTGTCACATCTTTTTACTTTATTGCTGCCCAAAATAGGAAAGCTGAAATTCTCTCTCTGTAGTTCCTATCTATATCTCATTAGACAGAAAGTTAAGACCTATTCTCAGATTTCCTCTGGTGCATCTTTATTT